AAATTTATTTTTTCAAAAAAAAAGATATGTTATGATTTCTAAAAATTAGCTTTATTAATAATTTTATTATGATATAAATTAAATAGGTATTTCACTCAAGTTAATTTGGAGGAATAAATGAAGAAAAAGATGATAAGATTAATTAATAATTAATAAAATTAACAAAGAATGAAAAAATAAGAAATCATAATAAAAAGAATAAAGAAAACAAATCGAATAAATTAAAAGAACTATAATGTTTTAAATTAACTTTTATAATTAAAAATTTTACAATCTAAAACAAATAAATAGCTTTTATTAAGTGTAAGTTTTAATAGCATAAAATGAAGAAAAAATATCAAATAATAAAAAATGAATAATAAATAATTAAAAATTGAAATGAAAATTAAGTTAAAATAGCTAAAAAATTTTAGTTTTAACAAAAATCAATAAATAATGATGATAATTTTGTTTATAAAAATTGTTTATTTAAATAAATTGATAATTAAATATACAAAAAATATCAATAATAATAAAAATAGTATCTTTTAATTAAATATACATCAGATCAATATGGAGAACCTAATGAGATAAAAGTGAAGAGCTTTTAAACTTTTTTTATTAATTTTTATAAATTTAAAGGATATTAATAAAAAAATTAATAATTACTTTTTCGAGATTATTATACTTTTTAATCTATTATATCATTTATTTTTTTTTTCAAAAATATTGAATAGCAATTTATGAAATTTAATTAATTAATTAATTATAAATGGATAAAAAGAACAAATAAATATAATAATTAATTAATTAATTATCAAATATTAATTTATATATTTAGTTCTATGAAGAGATATCACATCAAATTGATTTAACTTTCACTATTTAAACTTAATATTTGTATTTAAAACATATAATTTAAAATATAGTTGGAATTAGAGATGGCCAGTTATTTATTTAGTCATATTTGAAAAAAACCTTGTAGTTAATGTTCTTAAATATTATAAAAATAATGTTTATAAGTAGATTTTTCTGTTTTAGCTCTGTAATTTTGGAATATTTATAATATCTCTAATTATAGCCAGATGCCATACAAAAATTTCATAATGACATATTATGAAATATGTTTTTTTATTTATTTATTTATTTATTAAAAAATCTGATTTATATATATATATTTTTTTTAAATGAATTATAATTAATTTATAATTTAATCTATTATAATTTCAATATTTAACCGCAAAAGTTAAAATAAAAAGTAAAACTTGATTTCTCCCTGAGGTTTTATTTAAATCATGGTATCTAATTAATTAATCATGATAAATAAAAAAAGGATAGAAATATGATTGATGGATAATATTTAAGATTAAAATATAACTAGTATATAAAAGTTTGGCATTTATATAATTTAATAACATGTAATATAAAATTAAAAATTTCAAATTATTTGATCGTTTTTGGAGAAACCAAATGGTTTGCTTAAGAGGATTTAATTTATTTAAGTAAATTTTATTTTTTTATTTTTTTTAATACTTTATTTACTTACAAAAATATGAATGATATTTATAAATAAAATCAATAATAAAATTAATCTATCTATTTATATTTTAGGTTAAAAACACTTTTTCGAAATATTAAATAATAAAATATATAATATTATTCAAACATTTTATATTTATTCATCCTTTTTTCACCAGTTATTTATCAATAGAAATGAAAGACTACTAATCTTTTTGATTTACGACACTTGCTTATTACTTTGAATTCTTATGATTCATTCATTAAGCTAAAAATTTTAAAATAAATTTGTCTAAATTTTAAATAAATATTAAAATAGAATAAACTTTTAAATTTAAAATTATTCTTTAAATTAATAAATAAATAAAATAAATAATATTAGTGGAATAAAAAAGATAAAAAATTAAAATAAATAAAAGCTATCAAATAAATTCAAAGAGCTTATTTATTTTATATTCAATTTAATAGTTTAAAATATCACAATCCAAAACAAAAAAACTGTTTTTACTGAAGGCTAAGTGTCAAATTTGAGAGATTAATGCAATTTGCTAAAGCAGAACCTAAGCCTGATGCATCCATTGTACCAATTTAATGAGAACTTTTTAAATATTGAAGAAAAAATATATCATTAAATAGTTAATTAGTAGGAAAAAATGAGGAAAAAATATGAAATAATAAGATTTATTAATTAATAATAAAAGTAAAAGTAGAAAATAAAATGATGAGATAAATTAACAAAGAAAGAACAAAAAAAAACAAGAACAATAAAAAGAAAAAGAAAAAAGAGCTTTATTGTTTTTAATTAGTTTTTATAATTAAAACTATCACAATCCAAAGCAAATAAACTGTTTTTACTAAAGGCAAAGTGTCAAATTTGAGAGATTAATGCAATTTGCTAAAGCAGAACCTAAGCCTGATGCACCCATTGTACCAATTTAATTAGAACTTTTTAAATATTGAAGAAAAAATATATCATTAAATAGTTAATTAGAAGGAAAAAATGAAGAAAAGATATGAAATAATAAGATTAATTAATAATAAAAGCAAAAGTAGATAATAAAATGATGAGCTAAATTAACAAAGAAAGAACAAAAAAAAGCAAGCACAATAAAAAGAAAAAAGAGCTTTATTGTTTTTAATTAGTTTTTATAATTAAAAATATCACAATCCAAAACAAATAAATTGTTTTTACTTAAGGTTAAGTGTCAAATTAGAGAGATTAATGCATTTTGCTAAACCAGAACCTAAGCCTGATGCACCTATTACACCAATTTCATTTGAACTTTTTAAATATTGAAGAAAAAATATATCATTAAATAGTTTATTAGAAGGAAAAAATGAAGAAAAAATATGAAATAATAAGTAATTAATTAATAATAAAAGCATAATTTGAAAATAAAATGGTGAACTAAATAAACAAAGAAAGAACAAAAAAAAGCAAGCACAATAAAAAGAAAAAGAAAAAAGAGCTTTATTGTTTTTAATTAGTTTTTATAATTAAAACTATCACAATCCAAAACAAATAAACTGCTTTTACTCAAGGTTAAGTGTCAAATTTGAGAGATTAATGCATTTAGATAAACCAGAACCTAAACCTGATGTAGTTATATTACCAATTTTATTAGAACTTTTTAAATATTGAAGAAAAAATATATCATTAAATAGTTTATTAGAAGGAAAAAATATGAAATAATAAGATTAATTAGTTAATAATAAAAGCAAAAGTAGAAAATAAAATGATGAGCTAAATTAACAAAGAAGGAACAAAAAAAGAAAGCACAATAAAAAGAAAAACAAAAAAGAGCTTTATTGTTTTTAATTAGTTTTTATAATTAAAAATATCACAATCCAAAACAAATAAACTCTTTTTACGAAAGGTTAAGTGCCAAATTTGAGAGATTAATGCAATTTGCTAAACCAGAACCTAAGCCTGATGCAGCTATATTACCAATTTTATTAGAACTTTTTAAATATTGAAGAAAAAATATATCATTAAATAGTTTATTAGAAGGAAAAAATATGAAATAATAAGATTAATTAATTAATAATAAAAGCAAAAGTAGAAAATAAAATGATGAGCTAAATTAACAAAGAAAGCACAATAAAAAGAAAAATAAAAAAGAGCTTTATTGTTTTTAATTAGTTTTTATAATTAAAAATATCACAATCCAAAACAAATAAACTGTTTTTACTTAAGATCAAGTGTCAAATTTGAGAGATTAATGCAATTTGCTAAACCAGAACCTAAGCCTGATGCACCCATTGCACCAATTTAATTGTGACTTTTTAAATATTGAAGAAAAAATATATCATTAATTGAAGGAAAAAATGAAGAAAAAATATGAAATAATAAGATTAATTAATTAATAATAAAAGCAAAAGTAGAAAATAAAATGATGAGCTAAATTAAAAAAGAAAGAAAGAACAAAAAAAAGAAAGCACAATAAAAAGAAAAAGAAAAAAAAGCTTTATTGTTTTTAATTAGTTTATATAATTAAAAATATCACAATCCAAAACAAATAAACTCTTTTTACGAAAGGTTAAGTGTCAAATTAGAGAGATTAATGCAATTTGCTAAACCAGAACCTAAGCCTGATGCAGCTATATTACCAATTTTATTAGAACTTTTTAAATATTGAAGAAAAAATATATCATTAAATAGTTAATTAAAGGAAAAAATGAAGAAAAAATATGAAATAATAAGATTAATTAATTAATAATAAAAGCATAATTTGAAAATAAAATGGTGAACTAAATAAACAAAGAAAGAACAAAAAAAAGCAAGCACAATAAAAAGAAAAAGAAAAAAGAGCTTTATTGTTTTTAATTAGTTTTTATAATTAAAAATATCACAATCCAAAACAAATAAACTGTTTTTACTCAAGGTTAAGTGTCAAATTAGAGAGATTAATGCAATTTGCTAAGCCAGAACCTAAGCCTGATGCACCTTCTTCACCAATTTTATTATCACTTTTTAAATATTGAAGAAAAAATATATGATTAAATAGTTTATTAGAAGGAAAAAATGAGGAAAAAATATGAAATAATAAGAATAATTAATAATAAAAGCAAAAGTTGGAAATAAAATGATGAGCTAAATTAACAAAAAAAGAACAAAAAAAAACAAGAACAATAAAAAGAAAAAGAAAAAAGAGCTTTATTGTTTTTAATTAGTTTTTATAATTAAAACTATCACAATCTAAAATAAATAAACTGTTTTTACGGAAGATAAAGTGTCAAATTTGAGAGATTAATGCAATTCGCTAAACCAGAACCTAAGCCTGATGCACCTTCTTCACCAATTTTATTATCACTTTTTAAATATTGAAGAAAAAATATATGATTAAATAGTTTATTAGAAGGAAAAAATGAGGAAAAAATATGAAATAATAAGAAATAAATAATAAAAGCAAAAGTTGAAAATAAAATGATTAGCTAAATTAACAAAGAAAGAACAAAAAAAGCAAGCACAATAAAAAGAAAAAGAAAAAATAGCTTTATTGTTATTAATTAGTTTTTATAATTAAAAATATCACAATCCAAAACAAATAAACTGTTTTTACTAAAGGTTAAGTGTCAAATTTGAGAGATTAATGCAATTTGCTAAACCAGAACCTAAGCCTGATGCACCCATTGCACCAATTTAATTTTCACTTTTTAAATATTGAAGAAAAAATATATGATTAAATAGTTTATTAGAAGGAAAAAATGAGGAAAAAATATGAAATAATAAGATTAATTAGTAATAAAAGCAAAAGTTGGAAATAAAATGATGAGCTAAATTAACAAAGAAAGGACAAAAAAAAGCAAGCACAATAAAAAGAAAAAGAAAAAAGAGCTTTATTGTTTTTAATTAGTTTTTATAATTAAAAATATCACAATCCAAAACAAATAAACTCTTTTTACGAAAGGTCAAGTGTTAAATTTGAGAGATTAATGCAATTTGCTAAACCAGAACCTAAGCCTGATACACCTTCATTACCAATTCTAAGAAGGGCTAAGCGACTCGAGTGGGCGAGTCGGAGGGTCTTAGCAGTGATATCGGGGGTTCGAATCCTATACCGCCCCCTTTATTTCGAAAAATTCCATGTAAAAATGTGAATGTTACCAGCGGTCTCCTTGGTAGGAGGGAAGGGCCAAATCTGATAGGTGGTAAAGAGGAGGCCCCATTCTGAACAGAAGATCTGGAATACAAATGGGAAGCGAGCATAATGCGTAGTCAAATCATGGAAGATTAGTAGAAATGCCATTAGGGTGTAGGTGACCCTTCCCTTCTAATATATTACCCACAATTATATATAAAT